AGACCACTTTATTAATTATTCTTGAGGACCTTACAAAATATTATAACAATATGTCTGAATCCACCATCTTGGCAACATATGCCACTACTCCTATCCAAAATGATGAAGGGGTGCTAGCTGGGCCACTACCCAAACCACTCACCTAAGCCTAACATCAAAAGCCGGAAGCCGAAACTCATTCGGAGGCCCCAGCCGAGCCACATACCGGATCTGGGGCACAATCCGGTCAGACGCACTCGTGTGTCGTCGCCGCCATCTTCCACAGGTCTTCAGGTCATATTGAGGCTTCTACCTTGTCTGGCCACTCAGCCATCGACGTCACCATGACGCCAGACAGCAACCTCCTCCTGCGCGAGCCCATCTCCGCACATCGGACGCCGAGTCTCCACAGCGCCATGCCATCGATCTCCGCCGCCATTAAAGTGTGAGATGAAACACCGCATCAGTATCCTTGCCACGTCCATTTCTTTTTCCCCTCTTGTCTAAAGGATCGTTATCTCAGAATCAGGCCAGTGATTCAGCGAACATTGCCTACTAGTACTACAGATCAAACAAAAGGAGTTATCTTTTGCAGGCACAAAACCCTTAACTAGTAGTACACATATCTGGGGTTCATTCGGTTTGGAGAAAATCAAAACGTAGGAATTTGGAATAGTATAGGAATTTGGTAGGATGGCACTTGCCATCTTCAGGATTTGACTTGCCTCGTTTCTACGCGCAAAATGAGTTTTGAGTGAATGTGTAGTTTCCTCCAAAAACACAGGAAATGAGTAGTATTTCTATGAAATTCCTGTACGCATTTCTTACAAACCGAATGCTTATATAGAAAAATTTCCTCCGGAATCCTTGTTCCTACGTTTTTCCTACAAAAATCCTTCAAACCGAAGGAGGCCCTGGTATGTACAGTAGATAGCATATGCTCACAAGTTTTATACTTTATTTCCTGATATTATTATCCATGGATCTGACATAAAGCGCCGAAAGAATAAGAAAAGGAGAGTGAGAGAGGCCTTTACGGTCTGCACCTTTTTCATGTTTGTGCCAACGAAGCAGGAAAAAAAGGGGACAGGTACAGAAATAAATATGTATTCTTGACTGAAAAATAAACAAATAGAGTAATGTGTAATGGTGCGTGCATGAAAAAGCAGAGTTCCTGCTTTAAGAGTGAGGACAAAGTGTCATTTGTCTTGATGCACTTCTCGCTGTATCGCATTTGAAGCTTAGCCTCCACAATATCTAAACGATTAGTTTCTTCTTAACACCTAAACGACTAGTTTTGACACGTAACAACGTAGTACGAGTTCATCCTTGTTTAATGCCAGATTGCCACTAATAATATAGGTTGCATCTACTAACTCATGAACTTGTTCTGTTGCGACTGCGATGGTCAGATAATTGTAGCAAAATTTATCCCTTCTTGAGAAAATACGTCAAGTACCAGTGTGTCGGATGAGCCAGAATGGTCCTGAGATGGCATGCAGCAAATTAATATTTAACAGCATGTTTGGATTACATGACTATAAATTTTTTTTGCAGATGAGGCAAAAGTATATCCTTTGGTTTGTTAATTAAGAAGAGACTGGGCATTAAACCTTGTATACATTACTATTTTCTGTTGTTCAGTCATTTTGTTGTGAACAACCCCTGTGGGATGTGGTTGAACAATGCATGATAAGAGCTAGAAGATACGATTTTCATGATGTAGCAAGTTTTTAAATTCCAAAATGATTTAATCGTGCTTGCATATCCATATTCCTCCCCCCTTTTTTTTATGAGCCTTCACACAACAGAGAGGTCCTCTTCCCCGGTCTCGCATTAGTTTAGTGTGGGAACGGAACAAAAGTTAATACACCAAGGAGATTTACTACATGATTTGATGCATGTATCTAGGCTTATCAAGCCAATAATAAGCTAAGGTTCCACACGGCACCGGTGCTTCCATAGATGCTCTACGTGTCAAGTATACACACGACATTTACGCAGTTGAGGTAATCGTCGTTTGCTTACTTAATTAATCACCGTATGCAGGTAGCTGGTGGCCCGTGAGTGAAGTGCAACTGATGACTCCATGTAATACACGCATGCATATGCTTGTCGTGGTGTGGCATATGGGAGCATGTGGCTGACTCTGCAACAATGTCATATGGTACCACATTGCATATGACTTCACCGAAAGAATATAAACAAGTAAGGATTTGCATACGACTTAAAAGCCATCTTGATGATACTGTATGTCTGTATCACCTTCACTTTCAGATGAGCTGGGTAGCATACATGATGCAACGATCGAGCAGCTAGAAGAGCTTGGGCGGTCTAATCCGAAGAACATGGGTTTGTGAGTGACGCGCCAATCATCAGAAGGAGCAGTACTTGTACTTGTACTTCCTCCATAAACTAATATAAGGGTGTTTAAATAACTATTTTAGTTATCTAAATGCTCTTATATTAGTTTACAGAGGGAGTACTTGATAGTCACGTACCTACGGTCAGTACAACCAAGGCAGTTGATATATACTGTAGCACTTTCATTTCCAGTTATACATGTCGACCGAGCAGTTAGGCGTGATCTAAACGCTCTCATATTTTACGGAGGAAGTAGAAGTTTGAACAATCTAGTCCGGAGAAGAAGGTGGGTTGAGTTGGTGACGTGCACGGGGCGGCGCCAATCATGAGAAGGAGCAAGGAGAAGTACTTGTACTTGACACTCACGGCTGGTACAACTAGACGCCCGGAAGGACCGATGCGGCGATGCCGATGCCGATGTGCATGCACCCGGCCGGCCAGTCACGCGTGTACATACTGTATACGACCGGTATCCTACACTGTACACATGTACAGTGAGAGTAAGACGGCCGTCTACCTCTCGAACGCATTGTTCACGCACATGCACCGGTGTGATCGTTATCTCGAGATTAGACGGGACGCCGGACGCACGGATTTGGGTTGGAACAGTCGATCAGTCCACGGGACGCCGTGATCATCGGCCCCGCTGCGGCTGGGATTCCCTGCATGTGCAGGCGACGGCCCCGCGCCGTGACACGTACCTACCTTTTTTTTTATATCAGTACAGACACAAGCGCTCATATACACGCGCATACACTCACCCCTATGAACGCACACACGCACACCCTATCTCTATAAGCACCTATGAGAGACTGAACCGGCATATCATCTTGAGATTTGCGAAGCCACCGTAGGCGCCTACCTGCCCGCCGGTCGACCGATCAAGCCCGCGTAGTACTACTGTACTCCCTTTGTTTCTAAATATATCTTCATAGAGATTTCACTATGAACTACTTACGAGGCAGAATGAAGGAATTTAGAGGGTGCTTGGATACGTTTTAGTCTCATGACTAAAAGTAGTGGGACTAAAACTTGCTAGCCTCATCCATGCTTGGATAGAAATATTAAAGAGACTAAAATCAAGTTAATGATCATTTATTATCCTCCAGACCCTCCAATCCAGAACTCGCATGTCTTAAAGGAGAGGAGTTAAATGAGAAGAGAGAGGACTAATCCACATTTAGTAGGGGTACCCCTAACTAAAATGTTTTAGTCTCAAGACTTGTTTTAGCCCCTCTTTAGTCAGGGGTGCTTAAAACTTTAACCTCTTAAAGAGACTACATTTAGTCAGACTAAAATAAGTCCCTTGGATCCAAGCACCCTCTTACACTTTAAAATGCATCTGCATATATCCGTGTATTGTCCATAGTAAAATTTTTACGAAGACTTATTATTTAGAAACGAATGGAATACTTTAGCCTGTCGCAGGATGCCAGTGTGCTGGTCAGTCAATCGACGGGAAATGATGGTCGGTGAGTTTCAGCTGACTCGGCGACTGGTTGCACTGCATGCAGGAGGTTCGTCGTCTGACACGCCTGTTCTTTTGTCCTGTTTTTACTACTTATTCGCCACGCACGCGCAGGAAGGAGCGAGGTGGGAGGAGACAGGGAGCCGCGTGAGTTTCAGAATCGTCAGACAGACCCTGCGTGGCTTCAGCCGAGCTCTTTGTCCCGTTCTGTCCGATAGAAAATGCATTCAAGATTGGACTGGGAATCAGCGCCAATATCTGCACGCAGAGGCATGTAAAAACAACAGACTCCATGAACAGTTTGTGTGTTACGGTTGCCTCACTACGTGGCGCCGCCGTGTTTCGCCCGATCTCTGACGCTGGATCGGTAGATAAGAATAGCGTATGGCTGGCGCCTGGCCGGTGTGTAGATCTGAACCTTATTCGTTCAGTCAAGTCACCTGGTCGCCCTACAGGACAAGAGGTTGAGATTCTGGCATACATGCTCGCCGTTGCATGTCCTGTTTTTACTTGCCATGAGCACGTGCATGAGTTCCTAATCAACATGTAATGTGAGGTTTCGTTCGGATTGCACGCATGAAAATGCCTAAAACCAGTCCACCTGTCCGCTGGTCGCCGCCGGCAACGTGGCGCGGCCGTGCAAGCAAACCTTGCAGATAATTGTAGTCCTGCTAGCGTGACACTTGTTTTCAAGCTAATTCTCTGGATAGCTAGCCTGCTAATGTTTTCTTTAAAGAGAGTGCTTGACTTGGGATTTCATTAACGAAATCAATGTCTTTATCTTCAAAGTTCATGCCAATGATTAAATTTCGGAAAAGCAGGCTAATGATTAACGGCATGACAAGTTTCGCCACGTCACATGTCGAAGACATGCATGAATCACGAACGATAACAAATTCCATGCACAACAAGAACAATCGATCAATCTTTATTAGTTAATTAATTTACTCGTATGCCTCGGCAAGGAGTTGCGCAGACGAGTAGAATGGTTATTACACAGAGAAAACAATCCCAAAAAAATGTCGCCTTCTTCAATCAGTTACTAGCTAGTACCATCACATACTGTACCACCCAGCTCAAGTATGTGCGTGTCCGATTGCCGGCATTACGCAGCGCAGAGGAGCACGCCGGCCTTTCGGATCAGCGTTTCGGCGCTTGCTGTGCGTACTCCTCCGGGGGACCGTGTCTGTCACCAGCTGCTGCCGTTGCGCGCGGCAGAAACTGGGTGTGCTCTGTCGCCAGATCCTTCGATGCCGCGGCGCGCGCGCTCACGGGAAGGCCATCTCCTGCAGCAGCGGCCGCGGCGGCAGAAGGTGGAGCGGCGGGGCTCCTCGGAGTGGGACGACGAAGAGACGCGGCGGAGGACGTCGCGGAGGCGGTGCTCGTCGCAGGGGAGCGCGACGGGGCCGGAGGCGCCGGACGGGAAGCCGTACTCCTCCTCCGCCTGCCGGAGCAGCTCCAGGAAAGCCGGGTGGCTCAGGTGCGCCAGCCGCACCATGAACCGCGCGCCCTCCGCGCAGACCGCGGCGTGCCCCGACGGAACCGTAGCGGAGGTGGAGCGGCGGGCCCGCCACCGGCGCACGGCGCGGCGCAGCCACGCTACCGACGGGATCGTGATGACGTTGCACATGTTGCGTTGCCTTTCTTGGCTCCGGCGAGCGACCGGGGGTGCGTTGGTTCGCTTGCTGCTGCTAGCTCTCAGCTGGCAGGGACTCGGCACTTGGCAGACTTGGAGCATAATTGGTTTGCTGCCAAAAATTGGCAATGCCAATGTTTGGCATTGTGTCAAATATTGGCAATTATTTGGTTGGCTACGAGTTGTTTTGCCTCTCTCACATAAAGTTGCTAACAGTTGGCAAGTCTCGGTATTGCCAATAATAGGCAGTGCCAACATTTGGCAAGCTAAATATTGGTAGCAAACCAATTATGCTCTTGGTTGCGAGGTGCGCGATGTGGGTGGTGGAGTGGAAGAGCGGGACGGGGAGGGGATATATATAGCGCTGGCCGCTGGGGCTTTGGTTCAGTGTCATCTTGGGGTTGGCGCAAACTGCAGGGATGGCACCGCGATGAGATCGAGACGACATGACACCGGGATGAGATCGGCAGGCATCCACTGCCAAGCTGGGGCAGTCCGTGCAGCCCAACCCAGCGCACCGCAGCTTGCACGCGTCGGCTCCTGCCCCCGATCAGGTAGGACATGAGCAATCTCTTAGCGCACCCAGCACAAAAGGCTCCCCCTAATTCCTGGGATTAATCAGGCATGTTCGAGTTCGTTCCTGAGCAATTGATTTGCATATGTTGCACATCGAAATGGAGCACGTGGTTCCTGTGCCATGCGAGGCCACACATGGTTTTCTGTACTGAAACTACATGGCTTTCGCTCCTTGGCTTAGTATATGTTCATAAGGCCATCTCCAACGTGGGCTGTCAAACAACTCACAACCGTTTGAACTGTGCCCGGACGTGTTTCGCTTTCATGGTGGGTTCTAGTACCGCCCGACGCGAGAGGCAGAGGGCAAGGAAGATGGGGGCCGCGTCCGACGCGGCTATGCAGTCGGCCTGCCGCCGCTGCGTGATGCCGGTGCCCGAATAGGAGTGGGTGTACCGTCCGTCGCTTACCATGGCGGAGACGGACGCCGATGGCTCAGGAGGATCAACGCCAAGCAGTTTCGACTCGGTATTGAGCAGTCCGAGTGGGAGGTGGCGGAGGCAGCGACTGGCCAAGCTCAAGCGCAAGCATCACCTGATTGTCCAGCGCTTGAAGGGCTACATCATCATCTCCGATTCCTCCTCCGACTACTGGCCCGACTCCTCCGGCTCCGACATCAACCCACCTCCTGCCGCGGCCGCCTACAACAGTGCCAGCGACCGAAAGGGCAAAGGACCGGCGAGGAAGTGGCTAAGCTCCGCCCTCTCATATCTAGCTCGTACCATCTACCTCCCAGTATCTAGTTCGCATTTGTCGGACACTATGGACTGTGTGAACTATTATCGATCTTTTGGTGATGTTTATATGTGGATTTATGCCCGTTTGCTATCTGTTTATAGTCGGTTTCTTGTTGATTTTGCCCGTCTGGTGATCTATGTACTATGTTGCATGATTTTGTATGGATATGGGGTGTCGGATATGAGATATATGGTTGTGGAGGCGCGGATTTAGGAACTACCCGATCACTGTCCGCGGACGCGCCCGGGCGCGTCCGCGGGCTTATAGGGTGGCGAATTTGGCAAGTCCGGCTGTAGATACTTTTAGTATATGCCATAAGGGCATCTCCAACACCGACTCTCAAATAACCACAACTGTTTCGATCACGCGGTCCTGCATCGGTCCGTTTGGCAGTCCAGCCGCACTTCGTTCTACAAACCGGAGACAAATTGGGGGGTTTGCGGGTGTCCGCGTCTGCCTAACCTGACCCGCGTCTAACTAACGTGGTCAACCAAAAACCTCTTTCTCGCTCCCACGTGCATTCCCTCTTGAAGCCAGCTGCCCGCATTCATGTAGGCCTAGAGCGGACGCGACCGCTCACTGGAGCCGGCATTGAAGCAACTCGCTGGTTGAGGGCGCCGCCCGCTGTAGATGCCTTCTCTCCGCATTGAAATGGCATTCTTATGCTCATCTACCTCCATTAAACTGACGCGTGTGCCGAGGAACGTACTTCGGCGCTCCGAGTGCCACACGTCCGTTCATGTGCCGGCGAGCATTAAACACCTCTTCGACTAGCTCCTCCCATCCGCCCGCTATACAAACATGTCTAGTCGCCAAGCAAGAACCACACCTCACCTCTTCTCTCCACTCCCTCTTTGTACATCACCCGCCATGGTCTCCGACGAATAGAAGAAGGAGTTCTCCGACATTGCAGCTGCCTGGGTTGCCCGACGAGCCAACCCGATACAAGTTGGCTTTGCCGGCAAACCCTCTGAATCCAGCGCCACCACCACTACCATTGCCACCCTCTCCTCGCCTGTCCAGGCTGGACAACACCGTCTGCCAGCAAATCCACTGCGAGTAATGGCAGGCACACGTGAACATGGTGCCCAGAGTAGATAGATAAGGGATGCTCGGCCCGAAAAGGGAACAACACAGTTAAACCAACCAAGCCCAAACTGTAACACCCCGGATGTAACTTTCCCTATTTGTACTCCAACTCTTGCCGTTTTCGGCGTTAAGTTATTTTATTTTCTTGGGTTCGGGTATTTGTCCCCGTGTGTTGTTATCGTTGTCATGCATCTCATATCATGTCATCATGCGCATTGCATTTGCATACGTGTTCGCCTCTTCCATTCGAGCATTTTCCCCGTTGTCCGTTTTGCATTCCGGCGCTTCGTTCTCCTCCGGTGGTCAATTCTACCTTTCTTTCGTGTGTGGGGATTAAACATTTCCGGATTGGACCGAGACTTGCCAAGCGGCCTTGGTTTACTACCGGTAGACCGCCTGTCAAGTTTCGTGCCATTTGGACTTCGTTTGATACTCCAACGGTTAACCGAGGGACCGGAAAGGCCTCGTGTGTGTTGTAGCCCAACGTCCCTCTAAGTTGGCACAAAACCCGCCTAAGCCTTCTCCATCGTCTAGATCGTTCGATCACGATCGCGTGGCCGAAAACCGCACCTCATTTGGACTCTCCTAGCTCCTCCTATGCCTATTTAAAGACCCCCCCCCCAAAATTCGGATCTCCTTCTCCCCCGAAACCCTAAATCGCCCCGCCACCGACGGACATGTCCACCGCCTAGATCGGACACGTCCGCCGCCCACCCGGGCCAATCCCGCTCCGCCACGTGTCCCACCGCCGTCCTCCCGCGTCGCGGCCCGCGAGCCCAGCCGAGGCCCCCGAGGGCCCGAAGCCGCTCCCCGCCGCCCGCGCCTCGCCGCCGCCATAGCCGGTCGCCGCACTCCTCCAGCCCCGCCGCGCCATCGCGGAGACCTCATCGGCGCGAGCTCGCCGTCACTCGAGCTCGCCGGCCCGGCCACCGCACGCCGCCCCGCGCCTCTCCGTCCTTCGCCGCCGCATCGTCGCTGTCTTGCCGGCCGGCCAAGGCCCCGGCGAACTCCCCTCCCTCCGGTAAGACCCTCGACGTCGGCGAGCTTCAGATCCGCCGCCGGTGAACAGTGGATCACGCGAGTGAACAGTAAACCCTAGATCTCGGAGGTGTTTTTTTCGTCTAAGTCCCGAATTCCCAGATCCAAATGCTCCTATTCATCGTGCCATAACTTTGCATCCGTGGCTCCGATTCTTGCATATAGCATATCAAAATGTTCATCTCAAAGAGTACATCATTTCATTCCATTGCATCATTTTCATTTGAGGTCATCTTGATGCCCGAAATGCTGTTAGAAGAGGGCTACTTGAGTTAATTATCAGATCTGCTACTCCATTTAGACATTTGTCATTTTTGCCATGATTATTGTGTGCATGATATGCCCTGATGCTCTACATATGTTTTGTTAAGGGTTTTGCCATCTCTCCGGAGGTGCAATCCATGTATTTTTGTGATGTGTGTGGTGCCTAGTGCAAGCTTGCAAAGTGGTGCACTTGCTAATTCTGTTTTCAGGGACTTAGCATTTTCACTAAGTCCTTGAGCTGTTTAGTTCATGATGCCATATGTTCATGTTGTTTGCTATGTTCACGTGCTTGTTAATATATTTTCTGATCCCTTTTGGCTCAAGGTCATTAAGGGACTTTTGTTAAGCTTTTTGAGTAGCTCCATGCCATATTTTACTTTGCCATGTTCAGGTCCTGTAGCATGTAATTTTGTTGCTCCGAAGTGTGCTACTTGGTCTGAAATTTCAGACAAGTGTTAATTTCACTAAGTCTGAGATCTGTTTACCATATGCACTTTTGCCATGCTTGTTTGAACCTGTTAATGGATGAATTGGCCGTAGCTCAGTGCTAGACTTTTGTTAAGCATCTTGAATGCATCCCTGACATGTATTTTGTTGCCATGTTTGGGTGCTGTAGCATGTTCATCTCATTGCATTTAGATGGCTACTTGCTGTAAATCGCAGACCGGTGTCATATTTGAATCGCTTGCCATTTCCAAACCGTAACTCCCATCCCGGCGTTTTTATATCGTTTTCAAGCGATTTAATCTCATCTTTCCAGTGGAACACTTGGATTTCCAGGTTGAGGCCAGGTTCCTGCATTTCCTGTCACATCTTGCATATGCCTCCCGCATTGTATCCCGCATAGCATACCATGTTTGTATCATCTTGTTTGATCCTTGCACGTGGTTGATTGTGTTCTTGTTGCTTGTTTGTCTTGTTTGGGTAGAGTCGGGAGACGAGTTCGATAACGAGGAGCCCGTTGAGTTTGCTTTCGAGGATCCAGTCAACTCTGACAGCTTTGCAGGCAAGATGATCATACCCTCGAAATCACTACTATCTTTGCTATGCTAGATTGCTCGCTCTTTTGCTATGCCAATGCAACGATGCCTACCACTTGCTTTCAGGCTTCCCAATTGCCATGTCAAACCCCTAACCCACCATGTCCTAGCAAACCGTTGATTGGCTATGTTACCGCTTTGCTCAATCCTTCTTATAGCGTTGCTAGTTTCAGGTGAAGATTGGAAACTGCTCCTTGTTGGAACATTTATTTACTTGTTGGGATATCATTATATTGCCATGTTATCTTAAATGCATCTATATACTTGGTTAAGGGGTGGAAGGCTTGGCCTCTCGTCTAGTGTTTTGTTCCACTCTTGCCGCCCTAGTTTCCATCATATCGGTGTTATGTTCCCGGATTTTACGTTCCTTACGTGGTTGGGTTATAATGGGAACCCCTTGATAGTTCGTCTTGATTAAAGCTTTTCCAGCAATGCCCAACCTTGGTTTTACCATTTGCCACCTAGCTTTTTTTCCCTTGGGTTTCCGGAGCCCGAGGGTCATCTTATTTTAACCCC